GCAGTGTTAATTGTTTTAGGCAGTGATGTGCAGCCAGCTCAGAGTTATGTGTGAATATAAGTAATTGTGATTTATTTGCCCTCTTTATTTCTCTCTCTTCTTTCTTGTATCTCATTCTGGCTTTTTCTGTTCTGTTTCTCTGACACACACTTGCACATATCCAGCACACCCTTCATTGTTAGCACATTAAAGGATTAATAACGTAGAAACATAGGGGAAAGGACTGTTAAGAAGTTGGGAATCTTTTGCTATGAGCACTGATTTACTCTCTCTGCCCTGTTCTGTTCACCTGCTTGTGTCACTGCTCAAATGGCAGTGAGTATGATTCGGCACAAAACGTCCAGTCATTATGACACTTGTAGAGGTTGCTAGATTTTTCACTATGGAGCAGCAAAGGCAGAAGACACAAAAGGGCAATACTGCCTCTTTAAAATGTTCATGGCTCTGTTTGTTGTATGAATCTGCTACTGACCTTATACACATTCTTTTAAACTGTTTATACAGTTCATGTATTTAATTGCTTCTTGCAATTTAGTTTTTGTGTTATGGCTCAAGGATGCACTGCAGCAAACCTATTGACAAAATTACACTACTACCATTGATTCCCTACATTCAGTAGTCTCTCCTAGAACTGCTTCCTATGTGCTTACACCATAACAATAAAAGAAATACAACCCAAAATCAGTTGGGACAGTATGTAAAATCAAAATTAAAACTGAAAATAGTGATGTGTAAATCATCTGTGTCCTGTATTACACTAAAAACAGTATAGCAGTACATCATTTGTGTGATACCTCATTAATTTTATTCTTTGTTCAAAATAAACACTCACTTCAATTCTGATTTCTCCAACACATTCCAAAAAAATTGGGATGGCTGCATTTCAGGGCCAGTAATGAGGTTAAACACTGAAATGATGATCCCGTTTGAAACAGGTGATATCCACACTTGACTGCATCATGGTTTGGTACAAAAGTGGCATCCAGGAAAGGTCAAGCCCTTTAGGGGCAAAGATGGGCCAAGGACCACCAGTTTACCAACATATATGTGAGAAAATTATTGAAATGTTTAAAAACAAATGTTTCTCAAAGAAAGATAGGAAGAGATTTGGATATGTTACCCTCTACGACAGAACATAATTTAAAAATTCCAGGAATCTGGAGGGATTTCAGTGCATAAAGGGAACAAACCTAAGCTGGACGGCTGTGCTCTCTGATCCCTCATACGGCACTGCATCAAGAATTGTCACTCTTTTATAAGTAATATAACCACATGGGCTCAGGATGACTTTGGCACACCTGTGTCAGGTACTACAATATGTAGTTACATCCATAAATCCCGCTTCTAACTGTGCTGTGCCAAAAGGAAGCCCTATATCAACAGTTTCCAGAAGCGCAGTTGACTGCTCTGGGCTCGGAGTCATCGGGGATGGACCATCACACAGTGGAAACGTGTACTGTGCAGACGAATCAGTGTTTTGGGTCTTTTTTTGGAAAGAATGGATGCCATGTGCTCTGGTCCAAAGACAAAAAGAACCATCGAGACCGTTCCCAGCAACAAATACAAAAGCCAGGGTCTGTCATGGTCTGGGGTTGTGTCGGTACCCTTGGCGAAGGTCACTTACACTTCTGTGACGGTGATTATGCTGTATTTTGCTTTATTGATCTTCTGAAAAATAACTAATGCTATCAAATAAATTTATATAAAGTACAACATTTGCCTCTAAAAATGTAGTGAAGTCAAAATATGAAGTATGAAGTCGCAGAAAATGTAAACAGAAATTAAAGTATAAAGACTACTTGAGTAAATGTAGGCTACTTAGTTACATTGCTTCTCTACCTACCTAGCAGTTAAATGTTTGGTTATATTTTCCCACTGAATTAAATTTATAAATTTATAATAGTATAAAAGTAGTTTTGTCCCTGAACCTAAACAAGCTGTATATGTGCCTAAACCTAACCATGGTAAAGTAGTTTTTGTAACTAAATCTAAGTACTTTTTGTTCCTAAACCTAATCTTATAATTTTTTTTGTGCCTTAACATTACCAAGTCATTTTGTGTGTAGAGGCAGTTCACTTTGTGTTTATTTTTAGAATCATGACAATAAAGGTATCTGACGTGATAAGTACAGTACTTAATGATTCTAGTAGGTGGACTTTGAATGGTGTGTTAACAACCAAATCATATGAGATGTTGGAGTTATCAATTCAGTTTAAGTTGATAAAATAAACACATTTTGTGTAAACTCTTCTCTTTTGAAAATGATACAGCCTTTTTCAGTCTTTGCACATCATTTCGTTTATTGACAGTACTTTTGTTCTCTATGACCTGTATGGTTATTGGACTGAGCTTGGAACAGTCAGCTGACTTTCTTCTTCTTCTTCCTGTACAGAGGTAGTTGAATCCATTGTTGCCTGAGCTGAAACAGGGCAACAAGGCCTGTCAAGCAGCCTGATAGACTCATTCTTAGCTTTTGGCGCTTGTTCTTGTCTGATGAAAACATTACACTGTTTTCTCATTCTCTGCCTTGTTCTGCTATTCCCAGAACAAATCTTTGAACGGATGGTTATTCTGTCATTATTTTGGCTTGCACACATATGCCTGCACACCAACAGACTTTGACATAGCCCACCCAAAGTAATTATTTCACATCCAGTGTACAATATTATTGTCTACATCTGCTGGGCTAAAAGCCTTTCCATTGACATAACTCATAAGCAGGATTTATTTATATTATTCTGATAAAAATAAAAATATAGAGTGACCCTGTCAATGACACATAAACAAACCACACAGTGTTCTTTTAGAAGTTGTATGTATATGGTGCATTGTTAGAGACCTGCACTGGGCACCAACTGGTCGCAGTGAGTTCAGTTAATGTTGCTCCAGCTGTTATAGAAAGCTTACATAAAATCTGACTTGATGTCTTTACAAGTTGTAAAAGCTATTGTTGATGCATTATCTTGACCCTTGAACTGGATAGCAAGTTATTTCAGTTTTTTTCTGTCCCCTATATACTTTATTCAGCTGTCTGAGGGAAAGCAATGGGTCATTTCCTGAAAACAGCCAATGACTAATGTAATACAAGGATGGGTGCTGAAATGCAAACAATTAAATGGGTTTCAGTGATCTGAATTTACTAATGATACAGTCAGGGAAAACTGTCCAGTTGACAAGCTGCAGAGACAGATGTACTGCCACTTTGTAAGCAAGACAAAGAAAGCAAAGAAAAAGAAAAGGAGGCAATATAGGAGGGCCATCTGGAGAATAGGGGCTCAGTCAGAGGGTGTTAAAAAGAGCCTCCAACTGAACGCACTACTGCACCCTAATAACAACGCAGCCTTTGAAATATAACACCTTATGTTCTATCTTTCCCTTCTGTCCTCTGCTTTACTTGTTATCTGAGCAGTGAAGGGCACACACCTGGCTGGCATCTGGCTTTATGTGTGTGCATATGTGTGCAGTGATGTGAGTCTATTTATAGAGGTCTTGTGGTGGGTTTCTGGGTTTGAGTGCTCTTACCGCCAGTATTGTTCATGTACGTTTGGCTGCCATGGCAATACTTATGCATGTACAGTACTATCTGGTCAGTCACAGCACTGCTCTCAAGCTTCCTGTTGGGTGGGCTCATGATAAGATTTGCAAGCAACTTATCTTTTAAATCTAAATGTGTGTGTGGAAATAAGGAAAGGGGAGCACTTTCATTCCCTCATCACCTGCTGCTGATATGCCATTGAGAAAAACACATGCTCTTACACCTAAGTACTCCAGTGGCTCTCAGGATGGCCAGTAGCAGAAGCCTGTATAGGTGTATGGAAACTTTACTTTCTGAAATGTACAGATAAAAAAAAAACAGTTTATCTGACTATTAAATTGTTGGGAAAGAACAAGTCAAGAATCTCTGGTAAGCACTGAACAAACTGCTGAATGGAAATCATTTTAAGGCATTTTAGATCTTTTAAAGATTTCCTTGTAGTTAACATAAGAAAGAAACCGCCAGTTATTTGATGTCTCTCACATTTTCTCTACATCATTAGCTTTCTTTTACATCTCTTTTCTCCTTCTGTTTAGCTGCAAGCAAGAAGTAAAATTCAAATGCTATTCCTTATGGCTTTTTTAAACATATGCTCTTTGTTAGACAGTAAATTGTCTGAAAAGAGACTGGAGTGGTTGTTTGATGGACTGTTTTCCAGATGAATTGATCACGCTGGGTGTTAGACACTCAGCGGTGCTCTCTCACACCTCTCTGGCAGCTAAAATGAGCCATTTTTTGCGTCCCATGCATGAAGAGCTTCCGTACAGGCCCTGCATCTAGAGGGTACTAAGGTAATTTTCAACAAAAGGTCCATGGATCGCATGGGGAAAGAGGTCTGTGTTCTTAATGTGTCACAAATTATTCTTCAAAGGGGTGTTGTTCAAAGGAAGCCGCTATTGTTAGTGTCAAATTGCTACCTGCTGTTTTTTAAAGGTCTCCCCTATCCCCACAGAGCTCATGACAGTGGAAAGGAATTACTGTAGCAGTCTTCGACAGTATGGCCAATTGACAGTGACAGCTCTGAGATATATAACATGCTTGCCATCCATTTGCTTCTTGCTCCCTTCATCTTACCCCTCTTTATCTTGCCTCCCTCCTGCTTTCCATTTTCTTGTCAATCACCATCCAGTCCAATTTTGTTCCACTATTCTGTTAACTTTCTTTTTGTTATTCTTTTTTGTTTTTCCATCTTTTCACCAAAGCTAAAGTTAAATACCTCTCATAGGCATTCACACATGCTTAAAGTGTACTGTAACTGTTCAACAATATTTTGCCAGTTTTCATTGGTAGGTTCGGTCTAAAGAGTGAAGAGCTATATACAATTTTTGTGCTTCTTCTTTATTGTTTTTTAAGCCACAGCCATGAGAAATATTCATTTTTACTTTTTTTCATTTTGAAGGCCAACTGATATAAACAAACTAGTTCTCAAAGAGACATTTCTCTCTTTCTTCATTACCCACAACAGCCAGAGGAAGATGAAATGGTGTTAACCCCTGATGGCACAAGAGAGTTCATGACCTTTGAGATCCCCCTGAATGACTCAGGCTCAGCAGGCCTGGGGGTCAGCGTCAAGGGTAATCGGTCCAAAGAGAACCACTCCGACTTGGGCATCTTTGTAAAATCTATTATCAATGGAGGTGCTGCTAGCAAGGCAAGTAACTACTCCCACCCACTTAGCCTTTGACAGTTACCTTGATGGATTTCATTGATTTCATTCATTGCTTTTGTTGCAACTCACAGACCTATAGGTAAGTGCAAAGATGAGGTGGACTGCTATGCTGTAGAGCTGCTGTTCTGTAAATAGGCATAAATGTTAGTGTCATGATTTTCAAATGTCACATGATGTATATTAATGTCCTGACAACCATGTTTTTTTTTTCTTTTTGGCCCTTCACTGTTTAAAACTTATGCTAAGACTAATCATAAGTATTTTATGAGCCAGATCTGACTGTTCATTGATGGCATTTGTCTGCAGGATGGACGTCTATGTGTTAATGACCAACTTATTGCAGTCAATGGAGAGTCATTGCTCGGGATGACCAACCAGGATGCCATGGAAGCACTGCGCAAATCCATGTCTGTAGAAGGCAACAAGCGAGGAATGATCCAGCTCATTGTGGCACGGCAGGTGGCCAAAAACACTGAGGTACTTTAACAGTCTGGGAGGAGACACACTCACTTGAAAGGGACTAATTTTGTTATTATATTAACCATGGAAACATGGCGTTGCACTTTTTCCATGTGTACATGCATAGAGTGTATTGTACATATTGTTTGCATACACTCAACAAACACATGTACATGTTATAATTTGAATCCTGTCTGTGAATAAGTAGAAGACATGTTGAATGAAGAAGATGGATAGTTACATTTCAGCTGCACTGAATGATGAATGAGGGTGGTTTTCTTTTAACTTGCCACTAGTCTTAATCTGTCCTCCATATGTTTCTGGAGCTAGAGACAGCTAGAGGAGGACCTTTATGAAGCAGCCACACCATCGTGCAAATCTTCAAACAGTCCCATTTCCTGTGTGAGATGGGTCATACTGTCTCACATCTCATCCTCTGTGTGATTTTCTATGCCCACAGTGGACCTTGATCTGTTATCTAAAAAGCACTTCACTGAGTTATGATTGACAGAATCATACTGTAGCCTAGGCAGATAAAGGAATATGTATTGCCGGTAGGAGAATATTTGTCATGAGGCAACAGTGAAGAATGTCCAAAGTGAGGGGGAATTTAACTTCATGAAATGGCACTTGTGATATAGAACCAATTCCAGCCTACTTAGAAAAAAAAACAAGTTAAATACAAAGATGAATTACTTGAATGTGAAATCCTAAGCACAGTGTGACAGCATTTCAGGCACCGTGAAGCAGACACAGACATTCACACACCCTGAAGCCAGAGGTTGTAGATCAGGTTTAATTAGTGTTCCTGTGGCTCTAAGTGGAGAGCTTGTGTCCCATGGCTGTGTGTCGGTCTGGAATGCCCCATCCCCATTCTCTGGCCTTTATGCTTCCTGCTAATTTTCATCCTCCAAGCATTTTGTCTTACTCTCCTTTGCCACGTGTCCTTGTGAAGACCCCTGAGCTTGTTATGCTTCCATGCCGGTAATAGCCATGGCCAGATGCATTTTTTTTTGTTGTCCATCCATCTGTCCATCATGTTTTTGTGAAAATAATATCATAGAAATGCCTTGAGGGAATTTCTTCAAATTTGGCACAGATGTCCAGTCGGATTCAAAAATGACCTGATTACATTTTAGTGGTCAGAGGTCAAAGGCGAAGGCCACTGTATCCTCATGTCGTTCCCATTCGCGTGATTTGGCATATTGGAGGCGGCATACACCTAAGAAGCAGTAGATGTAGTTTTTGTTCTTGATTTGATGTTGTATTTCACCTCCTTTTCCAGAACATAGTGGTGTGTCTTAGCTTAATAGGTTGAACATTTGTTAAACACAGCCAGAGGCGGGTTAAATTTTCATAGGTATCACTCAAACGGTCATTAATTGCTGTATTACTGTATTAACAACCAAGGACTAAACAGTACAAGCAGTGTTTTTTTTTTCATTTTTACATTGAGATTGCACAATCAGTGAGACTGTATATCAGTATTCTCTACTTGTTGATCCAATGCGGTAACAGAGAGAGTAACAACTGTTCTAAAACAGAAAAAGTCAGTTTTACTGGAAAACATGTTTGAGAAACACATTAACTGAATAATTGTTCACAATAGTCAGTTTTCTGTTAATTTCTATCATGATTGATTTAAGCCTTCCATTTTGATTTTATATTAATTTCATGGCCACAAACCATTTTTCACAGTTCTTCTAAAAGATAAAATAATGTCAGTTGTGATAACTTTTCAGAGCAGTAAAAGCCTTCCCTAATAATGTTATAAACCACTGGGGAGTGTTTGGGGTATCATATAATCTATCAAATGCATAGATCTGTTACACTGACTAAAGTTTCTGGATTGTTTTTGTTGTCTCACTGTTATCTGAAGCAACATAGCCCACGAGCACAGCCCCTTGCATTTTTTTAATGCAAGGCTATTTTTAGATGCTCTCTCTTCCTCGCACCTTTATCCTTCCTCCCCTTCTTCCTCTGCCTCCCCCTTTCCCCTCCTTGCCTTCCTCCACACTAAGCGAGACGACATGTCCCTCCTGGGAAAGCTCAGCCCCAAGGTTCAGTGAGTTCTATCACTACAGTCCACTTGCTCTCCTGGCCTCTTTAGTCCCCAGCAGGCAGACAGGTAGATAGATTGACACTGTGCTGACAGTTGGAGTCACAGAAAAACACATCTTGAGAGACAGCAAAAAAGTATTACACCATCACTGATGACAGATCATGGTTTTACATTAAAGTTTATTACAATTTTGAAGGTAGGACTTTATTGAACCGTGTCAGGAGACAATTTCGAGGGAAATTTTGACAAGTTTGTATTTGACTTGACATTTATTTCAACATCACTTTTTATGAGATAGCATACTGATGATTTTGCAGAGGAAGACTGAGAGCATGTGAAATAAAAGGGGAAGGAGACTCCATCCATTAAAGTCCCATTACAGGCAATCATACATTGCTTAAGCTGCAGTGTTTTCAGGAAGCTTAGTGGCTTGAAAAAGGTGCCATAAATTCACTAGAAGGAATTTTAATATACTCAGAGCAGAGACTGTAAATAAAGAATAGCAAAAGCTGGCTCTCAGCTTCAGAACTAGATCAGCCCTACCCCACTCTTCTCCCTCTTTGTTGCTGTGTTGATCAGGCAGATACAGTATGTGGGAAGCCAATGCCAGTTTGCCACTGTCACCCAGCTGAATGGGAGTGAACACTAGGGGCCACCATTTAAATGAATCAGATCCATCACTGTCTGCAGGGGAGAGGAGCCCAGCAATATAGCCTAATGCATCATAGGTGGGGACTTTGATGGGTGCCGCATGTCCAGGCCACCTCACTCCATGACAGTAGTTTTGATTTTATCAATGCATGATGTTGGCTAAAGTATGGTCATCTCTGCTGGATGTTTGCAAAACCAAAAGTGCACACTAGTTACATACCTGGCATCCATTTACTTGAATGTGGTGCAACTAAAATTGCTCTATCTGAAAAGGGCCATAACACATAGATACAGATATGAAATTTCTTAATGGAAATGTGAAGTCCAGCATGTGGCAGTCTCTTGTGCATCAGGACTATGTGACTGCCAAGAGCAGCCTCTTCATGCAATGCACACAAAATGCATTGCCTACAAAAATGCACGCTCACATCCACACACATCTCACAAAAGCCCTTTTGCTTTCAAAAGAACTTGGAGCAAAAGCCATCCAGACCTATCTTCTCAGTGATGAAGACGTGTTTAATAGGTGGGATTATGCTGATGATGGCCCATGGTTGATCCCATGCTTGAAATGGAGTACCTGGTCTATTTTTGCTGCAATTAAAGCAATGGCCATGTGTTACCTCTGCCCTGGGGACATTCTGGGAGTATTTTTGCTAACCATGGCAATAAAAAAGTGTGTCACACTGTATGGAGAAGATATCTCCCATGCACAACACCAGAAGGTCTTGATTAGCCTGATTCCAGATCTGATGAGCTTGGATTCTTATTGCTTTTACCCAAGTTTTAAAGTAGTATTCTAAATTTATTAATGAAAACACTCACTCAACCAGGTCACAGCGAAGTGGTGAGACAAAGGTGTGCAGTAGGTCATTAACAACAAGTTCAGGAGAGAAAATGAAACTTCTTCAATAAGGAGAAAAATGTTTTGCTTTTGACTGCTTTTGCAAACCAGGCCAACCAAACCAAACCAAAAACATATACATTTGCATAGCATATGCATTTGATGTGTAATCAGGTTGAAGACGAAGCCAACTGAGAAAAGTATAATTCATTATATCCGAGTACACACTCAAGCACAGATACCCACACAACGGTTATAGCCTCACAGATAGTCCTTGTTTAAAAACTACCATTTAATGAATATATCAGTACATATTTTTATGCAGTTACATTTATGAAAAGTCATTTCAGGTCCACTATTTATGTATGCTTTTGGCTGCACATGACTTATTATTGTGTCACAAACCCACAGTCCCATGACTGAATCACATCCTGATCATTATCACTGTTTGTGACAATTTTAAAACATATTCCTATACATGTTTTATGGAATACAATATGGATCTCGAGTCTTTGAAGTATCTTTTAGTAATTTACTTATTAGGTAACAAAATATCGTATAATAAATATAAAGTATAGCTACAGATATAGAAATACATCAGTTCTAGTCAAACCTGCCTTCTGCATTTGATTTCATTGACATCACACTGTATGTCTTCTTTTCAAAACACCTAGAAAAGAATCTTTTAGCAGCCTGATATATTCGGACATCCTGCAGTAATTACAGTAATTTTATGATGTGTTGAGTTTAGAATGCAAATTAAAGTTTTAAAAATAGTGTGCAAATGTCTAAGTATGTGGTGGAGTCCACATGAGAACAGGATTCATGATATTTGAAAAATGTGCCCTTTGATTGCATGTGGTGTTAATGTAATGAGAAATGATCCTCAGTTCAGGCCACACTGACTTCTGTTGTGGTGAGTTTGTGCTTTTAAAATGTGAACTCTGGATAGGGAAATGGATTTTAACAATTGTAAACAGACAAACAAGCAAAAGAAATCTGTAATTACCAGTTAATATAATGTAATCGCAGCAGTTTAGCTCCCTAGTCGATCAACTGCCCTCATCGCTAAAACTGTCACATTATTTTTAGCACCAGAGCAAAGAAGTCAGCTTACTGTGAAACATCATCAAAACAAATACAAAGGATATCATTAGAAAATTAAATAGCAACTAATTATGAGATATTTAATGTCACACTCTTGGTTTTATGCCTGAATTTAGAAAATATGCATCCCCTCCTTGCCTCTCCCTGTTATCCATTTTATGAACTTGTGCTCAGTGTGGTGTGGATATTTATTTCAGTCTGTTGCAACAGTCAGAGTCAGTCAAGATTTTTCCCCACTAGCATCTAAAAGCAGACAAGCTGATGATAAGTGTGCGTGGGCGGGTTTCATTTCTCAGATTTAAAATTCACGGTATATATGCATCTGCTTGCATTTGTGATATTTTTTATGCTGGA